GCAAATTCGCTCAGGAGACTGGTTCTTTTCTCTGGACCTGAAGGATGCATACTTTCACATCCAGATAGCCCCCCGTCACAGGCGATTCTTGAGATTCGCGTTCGAGGGAGTGGCTTATCAATACACGGTCCTTCCCTTCGAGTTGTCCCTGGCCCCCCGCACTTTTACGAAGTGCATGGACGCGACTCTCTCCCCTCTGAGACAGATGGGAATCCGCGACGACTACCTCGACGACTGGCTCGTTCTGGCCCAGTCAGAGGCAGAGCTAATATCACACAGGACCCTCCTCCTCAGCCATCTGGAGTGCCTGGGACTCAGGGTCAATTTTGCCAAGAGCGCGTTGTTCCCCAGCCAGCGAATATAGTTCCTGGGAACAATTTTTGACTCAGCCCAAATGAGAGCTGTAGTCACGCCGGAACGGGCTCTGGCCATATGGAGGCTGGCGACCTCCTTCGAGATTGGTACCGCTCGCCCTCTCAACACGTTTTAGAGGATGCTGGGCCTCTTGGCGGCGGCATCGCCAGCGCTACAGTTGGGTCTGCTTCGTATGCGCCCCCTTCAGCGCTGGTTGAAACCACAGGTTCCATCCCATGCCTGGCGTCACGGACGCCTGCAGATCAGGGTGAGTCAGGCCTGTGTAACACCCCTGGCCCCATGGAAGAGCTCCCGCTGGATGGAACAGGGCGTGACCATGGGGATGGTTTGTTGACTCAGCTGTTGGTAGCGGCCCCTTGGCCCATTCCGTTGAGATGGGATCTCCTCTCTCAAGCGAATGGGACAATATGGCATCCTTGGCCCGATCTGTGGGCCCTGCACCTCGCCTTCGAGCCTCCCAGAGCAAGTCTTGAACACAATTTCAGAGGCTAGAGCCCCATCTACGAGATGTCTCTACGCCCTTAAGTGGTCTTTTTTCTCTGCTTGGTGTCTAAACCGTGGCAAAGACCCTAATACTTCCGATTTGACAGAGGTGTTGTAATTTCTGCAAGAGCTGCTGGATAAGGGACGCTCCCCATCCGCGCTCAAAGTGTATGTAGCAGCTATAGCGGCCTCACATGTCCCTATAGCGGGCCAGTCAGTGTGCAGGAACAACTCAGTTGTCCGCTTCCTGAGAGCGGCCAGGAGACTGAATCCGCCTCGCCCCCTCACTATCCCTACATGGGATTTGCCTACTATACTGAGGGATTTGAAAGGCCGTCCACATTTGCTAGGTTCTATAACCTAGAAGTCCCGACCTTGCAAGCCAGGGTC